CACACACACACACACTCTCACACACACACACACACGTTTGAGTGTGACAGCCACATCTGAACCATAGAATCACACACTTATCATTATGTGAGAATCTCCATCATGACCTCACGCTCTCTGCTGATTGGTCTCTTCCTGCTGACTCAGCAGCGGTCAGAGGTTTTGGTTGAAGGTAATGGTTCCCACCACGAGCTGCTGCCGCTCAGTTTTTTAAATGTTGGGTTCTAGTTTTGCTGCAGAGTCATTTCTGAAGACTTGGCCCGGTCAGCTGTGTCTGTCAGGCAGCGGGTCTCTGTAAGAACCCTAACCACAGCTTTAGTTAACGGTGGTGTTTCTCTCTGAGTGGGTTTTTGTTCGGTCCATTGGAGCCCTGAACATTGTTGTTGGTTCTGGTTTTAATTTGCACTATATGTACATTTTATCTATGTAGACGAATGATTTGTTCTTCAGACACTTTATAACATCAAAAAAAAACGTTACTCCAGCACCTGATGTACACACACACACACACACACACACACACACACACACACACACACACACACACACACGTACAGTATGTCCAGACCTGTATTTTACATTTCCTTGAAACCTTCAGGCAGCTAATCATCAGCTTCAGGACCCAATTACTGTCATCGCCACGGTTACATAAGATCTGTGCATCACCTTTTCTCTCTCTCTCTCTCTGTCTGTCTGTAATGTCTCTCGCTCGTGGGCGTCCATACAGAAACTTAGTCACGATTTTAGAGTTTATGAATGTCAGAAGCAGAGATGTTCTATTAAACAGTGTGAATGGGCGGCTGTGTGTGTGTGTGTGAGAGAGAGAGTGTGGGCGATCGACACTTAGCGAGTCCATTCACGCCATTTAAGTGACAATTTGGAGGTGATTGCCTCGCTCGCATCATCCTTTGGAAACATTAAAAAATAAAAGTTTCACTCTATCAATACTCAGAACGCTTCAAATCCTATATCGTCCTCCACGTGCACACTCATCAAGCACCGCCTGCTCCAGCACGGCTTACTCCACCGCTGGAAATAGTCTTGTACTAAGTCAAAGGTCGGGCCCCTTAGGATGAGAAGAAGAAAAGAACTAACAGATGAATGAATGAACATTTCATTTTTTAGTTCCTCACAGTTGGCGATGGATGAAATCCTAATAGCACGTTAACAGCTGTAACAGTGGCGTGTCGTCAGCTTGACGTTGTCCACACGAAGCCTGTTATTATGTCTGTAGTGACAGAAGAGCTGCGGATAGACGGTCACCTCAGAGTCGTGTTACACGTGTGTTTCTGCACAAACACTCAACAATCACAGCTCACTGAATAACTGTGCTGCTGCCAGTGGAGGATGTAGTTCGGCAAATCAAGCGGCAAAAAACGAACAAGTCACGAACACTTGAATGCACATTGGTGTGATAAGAACGACCTGATGTGTCATCAGTGTGTAAAACCTCCGCAAAGTGTCAGTCTGACATCTGCAAGTCGTCTCCTCACAGCTTGTGTCCAACTCTCTAATCCCCGTCCTTTTACACTAACACACACTCAACAACTCATAAAACCTGATTCCTGCAACTCATCTGAAACACACAGCTTCAACACTGCCCTGTCTAAACAGACGTGTGTGTGTGTGTGTGTGTGTGTGTGTGTGTATGTGTGTGTGTATGTGTGTGTGTGTGTGTGTGAGTGAGTGTGAGTGTGTGTGTGTGTTCTTCAGAGAACTACTTTGTCCATCAGGTCTCTTCTGTGGAGAATTTCCTCTAAACATCGAAGTTCATCGAATATATAGATGTTATGAAACAACTAGTTTAAACATGAAACAACTTGTCAGGTAGAAATGTTTAAAAGAAAAAGTCAGTTTAAAGACTTCAGATTCCTCTGGGCCTCAATATCCCACAATGCACTGGGTGACCACCATCAGTTGTCCTGGCCTTGTCTCATAGTGAAGTCAAACCTGTAACGTCTGACCACCGTGTTTTTTTCCTGCCTTGACAGGTGATACCTGAACGCATCGCCACGAGGAGACGCAGCTAACAGTGAGTGAACACACCCTCCATGTTCCCTGCATTTACTGAGACCACACACACACACACACACACACACACACACACACACACACACACACACACACTGCTGCTACCACCCACTGAGTTTTAACTTTTAAACTCAAAGAAAACGTCTTAGCAGCTTCTGTTCAGGCGTTTCTCCTCCTTATCTAACAGATGTAATGGATCATCGTACGAGCACTTCCTGTCGTCCTAATGGGGACGTTAATCTACCGCTCTGTCATGTTTACATTAAAGGGATCAAACTCTCCATCTTCCTGCACCGCTGCTCTACATCAACGCTGAGCAAAATAACGTGCAGCAAGTTTCATTTTAACCCCTGACATATAAATACTCTTTTTGAACCATCTTCGTGACTGTGGAGTACTTGGTACTGTAGTACTGTAGTACTGTGGAGTACTGTAGTACTGTAGTACTGCACCTGAAGGGGCTGATGCTGGAAGTGATCATCATGATGTTACCATGGCAACCAGATGAAGCTTCAGTCATTTTCTCCATTCCCCCCCGCCCAACTGAGAACACGACCCGGTCAGACTCCGTCTTCAAACCAATCAGAGTCAAGTCGAGGTAGACGACGCGATGATGGGTGATGACAGGACGCATGTCAGACTCAATTCTTTAGTCTCTAAATTACAATGTGAAACTTAAACAGATGAAACATGGACAAAATCATGAAACTTCACAATCAATGATACATATGTATTTTCTAAATTTCCCAGGACAGACAACAGAAACAATCATGTCAAAGCTCATTGATCTTTAACCATCATAAGGTTCCTCCAGTGTTTACGTTGGTATTTTCTACTTAATGCTTCCTGTCTCTAAAAACTGTACAACTAAAGCTAAAAGCTTCTGTAAGTCAACAAACCATGATAAATGATACAAGTACTGAAACTATCATAGATTAGATAAATAGTAAAACCTGATGTTTTTTTAATTACAAATTTAAAAAACGGAAAAACATGTAAAGAGTCTAAATATAGAAACATGAAATAAATATTTCTTCACTTTTCAACTATAGATCTTAAATTTTTAGATATGCCACAAATCCTCACTACAGCCCCAAGTGCGACACAATCCACTGCTGGAAACTTTCAATGTGGTGTTTAAACCTTTTACTGATTATTCGTGGTGAATATTTTTCACAGTTCACCACAGGAGCAGTGTCGCCTCGTGTCGGCTTTCTTTATTCCTGTTTGCCATTAAAAGGATCAGTCCGCCCTTTCTTCTGTCACTTTAGTTTACATTAGGAGGGATCAGTGGGCTGGGTCAACCCCCTCCCCACAGACACACACACACAGACACAGACACACACACACAGACACACAGACACACACACACAGACACACACACACACACACACACACACACACACACACACACACACACCACTTGTATTTAAAACGTCTGCGTTGACCCGCAGGAGTTAAAGACATCTGACGCTCAGAGTGAGGAGGGGTGTTGTGGGTTCAGTTCCTGCTGTGACTAAACAGCTTTGTTTCATGAATCCAATAAATAAATCAAGACGTGGAAAGAGCTCAAACTCATGTTTTTGGTTTAAAGCTCCTTCAGGGGAAGTTTCAGAGTAATTTCATGTTTTAATTTGATGCAAATTTAAAGAGTTGGCGTAAAAGAAAACATCTGTATGACAATATTATAAAAACTTCATTTTACCTTACAAGGTACAAAGTCGGGAAGAAACATCGGGTACACGTCGTGGAGGAGGAGGTTTATGACCTATACTGCAGCCAGACACCAGGGGGCGATACTGATGATTTGGCTGTCATGTGGTTGGGTTAGGTTAGACTGAGCGCGCTCACGAGTCACTGCAGAAGTTGTGACCATGAGTTGATCGAACAATTGAGGACAATAGAGTATTTCTTGTAGTCAGACCTCGAACCAAGATAAAGCCTATATCATGATAATAACATGTAAAATAACCATGTTCCACTTCTCTGCATGAAGAAGCTTGTTTCTTTATTTCCACTGAGAACGTTGTGACATGGAATCAGTGTGTAAAACATGGTCTGTGATTCATTTTCCAAACTGTGTTTATGTACTGAGAATGTTTTTATTGCTGTTGCTGGAAAACTTTGTGTCGAAGAGACGATGAAGTGAAACAGTTTGTTGTAACAGCTGGTGTCGTGAAGTTGTTTCTGTCGCGTGCTTTAGCTGTGAAATACAACTGGACTGTGAAGTTTAAATTCGAACATGAAATCACATCATCGAGCGAGTGTGAGAACGTCGGCTGCTCAGTCACATTGTCCTGTTTTTTAACACAGTGATTTTAGGTCATGTTTTTCATTTTCAGACCTTGTCAACAAAGCCAGATTTCTCTCTCAGGACAATAAAGTTTTGAGCTAAATTGAAGTTGAAGTGCCAGCTCCTGACTCTCTCTGTCTGTCTGGGTTCCCAGGCCAGTTTATTTATAATGAGAGAACAGATGAGCGCTTCAGTCAAATGTCCCGGCTGCTTCAGCTCGCCGTTTGCAGACAAGCTCCTGACACGTCTGGAGAGTTTGACGAGAAGTTCTGACAGGACAGAAAATAGACGCCAGGCGATGAAGACTTTGATCTGGTCTGGAATCAAACCCGTCTAAGTCCTTGACATCATCCAGATGCTTTTCTGCATAAAGACAAATTGCTTTCACGCTCGTAAACTCACTTCACCAGAGAAACTTTGGTTCTAACAATCAACTCATCATCACGTGGTCACACCGACACTAAACAAAGATCTGTGACCAAATCAACAACTTCATTCCTTTAATTTCTGAAAGTTTTCATGTCTCATCACACGTCAGAGATGATCACACGGTAAAACCTCACTGACCCAGAGCGTATCCCTCCACCACGCTCCAACTCCACCTCAAAGCTCATTATCATCATTCGGGACTGAATCCACGTGATCTCGGCGCCACGTCGATGCTACTCACAGGTCTGTAACCTTACACCTGTTGGTGCAGGTGTGAGATCTACTGAGTGATGATCTTCTCATGAAGCAGAGAAATGAGACGATGGCGTTGACCACAGTGAAAAACGTTTATCACACCATCAGTGGGAGGAGTGATGGAAGGTGAACACTACCTGAGTTAAAGAGGAGAAGAAGAAGCTCCTCTACTTCAGGACTGTTCATCAACAACATTTAACCATCAGCCACTTCCTGCTGCGTCACACTTGCAGTACGACCAGTTTCATCGTCAGACCTCCCTCCCTCGTCCCTCCCTCGTCCCTCCCTCGTCCCCCTCTCGTTCCTCTCTCGTTCCTCCCTCGTCCCTCCCTCGTCCCTCTCTCATTCCTCTCTCGTTCCTCCCCCTCTGTTTGAACTGGATCATCGCTGCCTTCCTGTCCTCCATGATTCCAGAGGTTCCTCACAGCGAGCCGCCGGCAGAGAGGAGGGAGATGCAGCGATGTCTCACTCTGACTGTGTTTCAGTGACACTTTGTTCTGATGGAGGTTTGATTCATGTCCTGTATCGAAGACACGAACTTCACTGTATATTTGAGCAGATTCGGATCACAACTGGAAACGCTACGGAACATGAATATTGAAGTCTCAGTGGGAAGAGGTTTAACATCGTGTCAGTATTTCAATCACTGCAGATACAAGGGTTCACATCAGCTGGTGCTCAGAACCTTCAGAACTCAAGATTAAACCAACTGAAACTAACTTTAACAATATTACTATTGTTTTATTATTATTATTTCCAAGGAATTATCTAGCTAGCTATATTAAAAAAAAGAAAAACAACTAAAAGAACAAATGATTAACTGTTCACTTAAGACAAATGACTTCAACAGTTACCATCCGATATGTAATTAAGTCCATTAGTAGGTTTAAAGAAATGTTTCTGGAATTGAATCTTAAAAGGTCTTAAAAAAAACATAAAATGGTGCAAGGACACTGAAGATGTTTTCTGAGACGAGCATTTGTTGGGGACTATTTTCAGCAGTGTCTCAGTGAGTATTTGTGGCAGCAGGACGGTGTGTATGTGTGTGAGTGTGAGTGTGTGTGTGTGAGTGTGAGTTGAAGGAGCGTGGTGATAGTGTAACAGTGACTCACTGATGTGTTTTTAAAGCTCAGGAGGAGGAGTCACATTCACAGCATCTTCATCTCTTGGGTTTCTTGTCGTCTCATGTTTCGAGCTGCAGCTCTGGACACAATCTGTAGTTATTTACTATCAAGTGATTCATCCGCTCAGACATAGAACATCTTTGGCTCACACATCAGAGTGAAGCGAAACGATGTGGTGGGACGATGTCGACCAAACCAAAAGCCACCGGGGATTCAAACCAGCAGCGCTATGAAGGCACAGACAGGACTGTAAACACGCCATTAACACGCTAAAGCCACGCCACACCCAAAAAGAAGAGGGTGAATTTCGAAGTAAATAAAATAGGGAAAACGATGAAGAGGAGTGACCAAAATTTAGAAAGGAGGAACAGCAGCAGAGAAAATATAGAGTGGAGGAGGGGAGTCAATGCCAAGAAAAAGACAAGAAGAGGAAAAAGATGAAGAGAAAGAAAAACGAGCACAGGAGAGAAGAAAACAGAGAAAGATGCTAATTGTGGTTTATTTTCATATCAGACGGACATTTTCGTCTGCCTTTGTCTTTTCTATCCACGGCTCTGATTTGCTCAGTTGTCGGGGGTCAGTGAACTGCACCCCAGAGCTTGTCAGATGAGTTGCTGGTTTGAATCCCCAGACAGAGGCGGCAACAGATCCAACAATGATGGGTTCATTAAGTCTGAAGGGTAGATCGAGGTTAGGATGAGGGAGAGCGAGGCAGATGAAAGTGGATTGTGGAATGTTGCTAATGATGTGTTCAATTAAGTTCAATTAGCCTAATTGTCCTGTGTGTGTGTGGGGGGGGGGGGTGAAGCGGAACAGACCAATAGAATAGATGGACAGAAAACGGCGGACAGATAGATATTGTGTCGGAGCTGCTAAACGGAGGTTGACACTTCGTCTACGCCAAGAATTCAGTCGTCCCTCTGCTCCCTTACTCGTCATCTCTGTCGCCCAAAATAATTACCGAGGTCCCCGAACGCATCACTTCTTCCAAACAAAGCACCGGACTGGCTGGGTGCAAAGAATTCTCACAGCGGGTCGGTTTTACCTCTGACAAACAGTTTTATCGTTTTGGCCGCAGCATCTTTTGTTTAACTTAAACTCTGCTGAACTTTTCAGCCACTTTCAGCATTAAGTTTGTCTTCAGCTTCAAATGAAAACTTTATCAACACTGTCCTGCCTGGAAAAAACTCGGCTTTAGTAACTCGCCAACTGATTCACAAACTGACACGTTTAACTTTGTTATCATCATTTTAAAAGTGTCTCTCCATTCTTTTAAAAATCACACTTGTGTCTGTCAAGGTTGATTTATTCTGACTTTACAAACAAAAACACATTTATCTGTTTCAATTCCGTTTTCAACACGTTCCTGCTCGCGTCTTTTACGTTGGCATGGTTACAGCCACTAGAGGGCGAAGCAGAGACGAGAGTCCGATCACCTCTCAGCTGCAGTAACTGTTTGTCTCTGGGCAAAGTAACACGATATAGATCTATGAAGTTGCACTGTTGAAAAACGGTTGGGCTACACTGCCCTTCCATGATTTCGGGTGCTACTGCTCCATTTTGTCTTTTTCGTATGTCTACTTAATTCTCTGCAAACATATAAAAACAAAAGAATGCAGAGTAAGAACTAACTCTGCTTACTTATCTAACGAGCATAAATTACTTTTAACACGGTGGTTCTGTCAGTTTTCTTCCCCCTTGTGGCTTAAAAATGCCGATTTTCAGAATAAATGATGTGTTTGTTTGTAGTTGTCTAGACCTGTTAGTAGCAGTGTTTGTGGTTTAAAAGAGATAAAGATACGAACAGATGAGTTTGGTTTGAGTTTCCAAGGTTCAGGATGATTCACACAACAACGCTCAGTCTACTGGCTCCGACCAGGCTGACCAATCAGAGAGGTGGAGCAGCGATAAAGGAACCAGGGCAGGTGATGAATCTGTGTTCTGGTTCTCGAATGGTCTTTCAGCACAGTTTCAATGTTTATCTGTTCAATACGTCACAAACATAAGTGTCTGCAACACTTCCTGTGATGACCATTTCAGGATAGAAGTAGCCCCGCCCACTCAGTCTGAGTAACAGGTCAGAAATTTCAAAACCACTAAACAAACTAACTGCAGTCATTTAACTAA